CTTTCATGGGGTCCATTTCTGGTGCTGAAATGTTCTACATGGTGACAAAAATCTACCAAGTTCATTCAAGTAATAGTTACCATTTCATTTTTTTTTTATAACAAGATCCTAAGAATAACACTTCTTGAAATTTTTAAAAACTGTTTTTAACTATGGTACTTTACCACATGCATGTCTGTGTATCACATGCACACCTGGTGTCCCCAAAGGCCAGAAGATGGCATCAGATACCCTGATAACTGGAGTTAAAGACGATTGTGAGCCACTATATGGGTGCCGGGAATCAAACCCAAGTCCTCTGGAAGAGCAGTTGGTGCTCTAACTACTGAGCCGTCTCTTCAGCCCTGTTTCTGTTTCTTCTTTATTATCACCTTGGGATCTAAGGCACTGGTGAAAATGGAGTCCTAGTCAGTAAGACTTTGATCTAAAACCACTTTAGCTCAAGTCCCATCAAGAGACGAAGGCCTGAAGCCTTGCCTAGGTTGTGGGCCTCAGTGCTAAGGATTTTGGAGAGTGGGAAAAGGGACAGTCTCTTGCATCTTTGCCTCACGGAATCTATGTGCCAAATGTTGAGGACAGGGGAAGAAGAAAAAAACAAGTTTGTACATTTTTGGAATATCGGGAAAAGGAACTGCTCCTGAGAGTGGAGTATTATGAAGACTGTCAGTGTAGAAGCCATGGACAACTTTTCCAATTAAGTTGTCAATAAAAAATTGATCATCACAATCAGAAAATACCCCAAATCTAGGAAAAGGCAGAGGCTTTTCTCCTGGACCTTTGCGTCAGGAGTTCAAGCCTTTGGAAGTGGGAGAGAAGAAATGTCTTACTCCTCAGTCTTCCATGGTGCCTTGCAAAGGCAGGCGCCCATATGGTGGCTCACAGCCACCAACCAACTTCATTGGATTAAAGAGTGTCTAGGGCAGCAGGGAGGCACAGCTTGGGTATTGTCTAGGAGGGTATTTCCCAAGAGCATTAAATGATCAGGGAAGACCCACCATCCATGTGAGCATCCATGTGTGGGGGGGGTCTCTGTCTGAATAAAAGATGAAAAAGGAGGAAGCGAGCTGAGGACCAGCATTCCCCTTTCTCTGTCCCTTGACTGGAGAGGCCATGCCAACCAGCTGCCCTATACACTCCTGCTCACACCCATGCCTTCTCCTCCATTACGAACTATGTCTTCTGAAACTGTAAGCCAAAATACATCCTTTCTCCCATAAGCTCCTTTTGCTGGTTAAAGTAACTAATACACCGGCAATCATTGGGTCATAGATACATCATTCCAATGTCTACCTCCAATGGCACACGGTGTCCTATCTGGTGTCTGTGTCTCTGTGTGTTTTCCAGTCACATTGGATTTTGGATTTTCCCTGTTCAAGGTGGTCCTCATCTTAACTGATTACGTGAGCAATGGCTTCTTTCTAATTGAGTCATATTAGGAGGTATTGAAGGTTAAGACTTCAACGCAGCTTTTGTTTAGGGGGATGCAGTTCAGTTCATGACACATGTCATCAGGCAGACCCTTATCCACCACACGGACTTCTGTAATCATGAGCCAACCACTGCCAACACACGGCCCATGAGTAAGCAGGGCTCTAAGACAAAACCCTGGTGACTCACAGTGTCACAATCAGTCAGCATAGAGGGTGATTAGTAGGAAATTGTCATGTGGAATAAAGCCACCTGGTTCCTTTGTAAATATGTGTCAGAGGGTACTTAGAACCATCATCGTCAACCCACTGCTACGTGTTGGTGGAACTACTAAGCAGATCACGCACTCGTATCTTTTTTGGGGGAGTCTCGTATTCATAGTTCTTCCTGTGCCCCATTTGTGAGGGCGTTTGCTCACGCATTTTCATTTCAGCACTGGCCTTGCTTATTTCGAAAGCTCCTGATGTCCTCAATACCCGTACATCTTCCTGTGCCCTGGTTAGTCATCAGCTGTCGCTTTTCTTTCACTTAGCTCATGTAAGAAATCATGTTTTTGCTAAAGTGAAAGTGTCACAGGAAAAGTGTTCTGCTTCTTTGCCGACTCATCCTGTTCCTTGCTGCCATTTCTAGTTGTGAGGGGGAAAACCCTTCTGAGTAGGATCTTAACGAAGGTCGACGGGGTGAAGGAATGCAGTCATAAAGCACCTTCGACATTCTGCAGCAGCAGTCTTGTTATCTGTCTGTTTTATTTTTCTGGAGAAGGATATCATGGTTCTCACACCCACTGGGATCCCAGAAGCTGCCTTCCTTACTAGAGACTGCTTTCTAGTGACGTCACCATCCTTCCCACTTCCCTGGCTTTGTTTGGCATGAATCACAGCAAGCCGGCCATCAGCTGAGCATTCTGTTCCTTTCCTTTGTAGGTCCAGGTCATGGGCTCAGAGTCTGTTAGAGCTGAGTTTATTCAGTTGAGTCATAAAGCCCCACCTGGGGGTGTCAGGGGTAAGTCACATCCCTTTCAAAAGTCTATGCAGGAGCACTAACTTCCAGTGCCTCAGAATGTGACACTGGTTAACATGAGGTCACATGGGTGATCCCTAAGCCTGTCTGGTATCCTTATAGAAAGATCAGGGCATAGACCTGTGTCAAAGGAAGATGACTTGAAGACTCAGGAAATGATTACCATCTACAAACCAAGGAAAGAGATCCCAGGAATGACTTGCCAATGCCTTGATTTCAGACTAGCTTCCAAAGCTACGAGGAAATACCTTTTTTGCACTAAGCCATCCAGTCTGTGCTATTTGCTACTGCAATCCTAACGAATGATTGCAGAGGGAGGCAGGTTGACTACACACAGTGACGTTTTGAAAGATGCCATACTTCCTATATTTCGCCACTTTCCTCATTGTTGTGAGAAAAAACACCCAGGGAACAATGGAAAGGCGGAGAGATTCGTGATGACTGGTGGCTTCAGAAGTTTTGGTTCCGCAGTTACTTGGTCCCATGTGATTGGGTAGAATATCACGGTAGTTAGAGCGTGTGGCAAAGGACAGCAGCTTAGATCAGGTCAGGCAGGAAGCAGAGAAGGCCGTGCTACTGTTTGACCGTGAAAATGAACTCATACCTACCCATGCCCCACCCCACCACCGCCAGCGCACACTCGCTCCGGGCTCTCAGCATTTCAACTCTTGGTCCAGTCTTACCTCTTAGGACACTACGTCGTGCTTGGTAGAAGAAAATGATGACACTAACCTACTTCCTTTCCTGAATGCAGTTTAGTCGGCATGCGAACAGCAGTATCAACTCTATTGCCATTTTCTGCAACACCAAAGTAGAACTTTCTGGTTTTTTTTTCAGCTACAGAGATGAAAAATGTTATCAACACAATCCAACCCAAGTGTATTTTCAGCCCCTTCCCTCCTGTCATGATAAGCCAGAAGTATTTGTTGCCAGAAATGGAAAACAGCTTTCTCATCAGCCAGATGATGGTAGTGTTCAAAGTGCCACCCGTTTGCCATGTGCGAAAAGTTAAGCATTGAAAACAGACAGGCTGGCTCTGCTGAAACCGTGGACTCTGGGAAGCCAAGGAGATACTTGGAGGCCTTGGAGAAGAGCTGTGGAGATGGTGTTGCTGGCAGGGGAAAGAGTGTCTGTTCACAAGGCTTTGAGATGGGACCCCTGGTTTGCCCTGAGAGTAGACATGGCTCTTTACCAATTGGAAGAAAGAGTCTGAAGTGAACCCCCTGAGGAGGCATCCTTTGTGTTCTAGAATTAATTCAGGGCCTTATGACTCTTGGACTTTTCTGGCATCTGACACAAAGTTTCCTAGCATTTTAATTACTCTTTCTGCCTCTGTTGAATGAGAACTCCAAGGGTCTCGTTGTTTGTTATGTCTATGCGTATATTTGTGTGTACGTGTGTGCACTTACATGCCGGTAGAAGTCAGTGGACAACTTCAGTATTGTTCATCTTGTATTGTACCACCCCCCACCCCCCCCTTTTTTTTTTTGTCATATAAAGTCTCTCACTGGCCTGGAACTTGCCAAGTAAGACAGATTGGCCAGAAAGTCCCAGGGACCTGCCTATCTCTGTGGCTGAAGTTTCTCTAGTCCCACCCAGACCCATGGTCCCACAGCTGCTTATAAAATAATCACTCAGAGGTTTATATTAATTACAAACTGTATGGCCAGTGGCTTAAGTTTCTTGCTAGCCAGCTCTATCATCTTAAATTAAACCATTTCTATTAATCTATGTTTTGTCACATGGCTATGGTGTTACCAATCTGCTGGCGTGTTGCTCCTGGGGCGGCGGCTAGTGTCTTTCCCGCCTCTGCCTTTCTTCTTCCTGTCTCTCTCTTGGATTTCATGCCTGGCTATATTCTGACTTGCCATAGGCCAGAGCAGCTTCTTTATTAACCAATCATAGCAACACATATTCAAGTGTACAGAAAGACATCCCACAGCATGTCTCTCTTTTCCCAGTGCTGGGATTACAAGTGTGTAACCATGCCTGCCTTTTAAAAAACTGTAAAGTCTAGGGTTTGAACTTAGGTCCTTGTGCTTGCAAGGTGAACACTTCAGTGACTGAGGCATCTCCTTAGCCCTCTGTAAGTTCTTGATGGACGACAAAGTGTTTCAGTGGACTGGGCCTTCAGGAGAAACTGGGAACTTCCACAGATGTCTAGAGTTATTCCGTTCATTTCCTACTCGTGTGAGGAAATAAAGAACATTCTTTGGATTCCTGTGTGACTGTGCTGCTCAGTTACTACCCCCTGTTCTGTCAGAGGCTTGTGGCTTGCAGGGTGATCTCTGATCATTTTTATCGTTCTGTCTTTGAGACTACAGAAGAGATTTTTTTTTTTTTTTTGGACAATAGACAGAGACATTTTAAGAAGTAGCAGTGCAGACTTCAGAAGTCAGATGGTTAACTTAGAAGCCCAGTCTCCCCCAAACCAAGCCAGACCTAAACAAAAAACCTTTTTTTTTTAAATTTAGAATTACACTCAGGGCTTTAATTACCAGGTTTCTGGATAACTCACCCAATTACATCGTGCCACCAGAGACGCTTGGCAATTCAATACTTAGAGCCCCTCCTCTACCTGATTGCTAACACCTGGGAAGCAAGTGAAGGTGACATTGGGTTGTCTACAATGTCTACATTGGCGAGGCCAAAGTCCACCATACCGAATTCTCTGTTTGTTCCACCACCTCCTGTTCAGGTGAAGTAAGTGCATTCCCTTGCGAGGGCAACGCTCCCTTGAGTCCCACCTCCTCTGTAGATTCACGATCATCAGTTTGTCTTGAAGGTGGGTGTTCTTTTTTTGGCAGCAAGGAGTTCCAGCTGACAGAGACAAGCAATTGAAAAGGAGCTCGGGGTGGAGAGGAGGGACACACCTTCATGTACACCCTTTTCTTCTCTGTTTGAGTCACCTTATTCCACCCACGGCTGCCCCGTCTCCAGGTTTTGAGCTGAGGGAGCAGTAACAGTAGGCCAGGCTCTTCTTCAGATGAAAGGCCAGATAGAAGGTACCTATTACATGCCCGTGAGCGCAGAAACAAAGGCCTGGCCGCTGACACTCTCCCCTCCCACTAACTTGAGTCTTAATGGTAGGTTTAATTTCCTTTTGCCGTTTGAAAGAAAGGGGGAAAAAAGCCCAAAGCAGGCAGAACAAGGGTGTGGGGAGCAGAGGCGATGGTGAGGAGGCGACAGCTGTTGTATTCATGGTTAATCAGGTGTGTCTCTCTTTGTGTCGCATCTGTCTGTTACTGTTGCTGGGCCACATGTGAAAGGAACAGAAGGGAAGAAGGTCCATTCATGTTCAAAGCCACCAGCGCTGACCTCTGCTTCGTTCTCCTCAGGGTGGGAGAGCTTGTCTATTTAACTTTCCCTATTATAGGAAGCTGTAATTTGACTCTATTAGCCCACCCTCACCATTTTGGCCTGACAAACCCGGGCTGCATTGAGAAGGCCTGTAAATCTGCTGGGAGAGGGAGGTCTCGTCCTTGCCATGCTTTGCTATGGGATTCCACTTCTCTGGTCAAAGAGAACATCAGGAAGAGAAGTTCAGGAGTATCCTGGCCCTACCCTCCACGTCAAAGCCACTAGACAGTTCGGATAGCCTTTCCTGGCTAAGTCTGGCTGGGTGGCTTCCCTGCGCCATGCCCAGAGCATGTTCGCCTCCAAACTTGTAAATCTAAGGCGTCCCACACAGTCATGGTGCTTGCATCAGAACTTAGTCATCTCCCTGGCACCAAATCCTGTCCCTGGATCCTTCCATCCCCCGCCTCCCTCTCAGCTCGTGCTCAAAGGGGAGAAGGGGAGGAGAAAACGGCTTCCGGTCTGTGTTCTACCGCCCAAGCCTGCCAGACATGACTCTTCTTGGCTCATGTAGAAACAGCTGACACAGACACACCCCTACTCCCCTATTCCAGGGTACCAGACTGCATTAAAACTTAGAGTTGGAGTTCTGATGACTCAAATTGACTCCCTCCAACCTGGTGTTTGGGGTCTCCATCTGGTTCCTTTGGGGATGCTGTCTTTTGACCTTTGTCCTTTGGGGTCAGCACTTAGTAATCTTGTGGTAGGTATTGGCCATCATCAGATTTTTCAAGACTAGGGAGCATTGCTGTCACTTTCCTATTCTGAGGAATGGGCCCTTATCACAAACTGACTACAAAATCCACGAGAGCTTACCAACTGCAGAAGGCCCCTGGCTTGGAGCATGCCCACAGTGAATATTAGCTTTCATCCTGTGATGATTAGCTGTAACTGTCAACTTGACAGCATCTAGAATCACTTAGGAGATGGGCATCTGTGTTTGCCTTTGTAGGACTGTCTTGGTTGTACTGATGTAGGAAAACACCCACTGTACTGGCTGGTTGTGTGTCATTGACACAAGCTAGAGTCATCAGGGAGGAAGGAGCCTCAGCTGAGGAAATGCCTCCATGAGACCCAGCTGTAAGACATTTTCTCAATTCGTGATCAACGGAGGAGGGCCAGCCCATGGTGGGTGGTGCCATCCCTGGGCTAGTAGTCCTGAGTTTTATAAGAAAACAGGCTGAGTAAGCCATGAGAAGCAAATCAGTAAGCGGCATGCCTCTGTAGACAAAAGTTTTCCTGTGTCCTGCAGCTGTCCACTCCCAAACAAACACACAGAGGCTTATATTAATTACAAGCTGTTTGATCTATGGCTCAGGTTTATTGCTAGCTAGCTATTACATCTTAAGTTAACCCACTTCTATTAATCTATATTTTGCCCTGTGGCCGTGGTGTTATCTGTCTGCTGGCATCTTACTCCTCTGGTGGCTGCTGGCATCTCTCTCCTGACTCCGCCTTTCTTCTTCCTGTCTCTCTCTTGGATTTCCCACCTGGCTATAACCTGTCCTGCCATAGGCCAAGGCAGCTTCTTTATTAACCAATGGTAGCAATACATAATCACAGTGTACAGAAAGACCATCCTACAGCTCTGCTCCATGGCCTCTGCATCAGCTCCTGCCTCCAGGATCCTGCCCTCTGTGAGTTCCGGTCCCGACTTCCTTCAGTGATGAATAACAATGTGGAAGTGTAAGCCAAATAAACCCTTTCCTCCCCATCTTGTTATTTGGTCATGGTGTTTCATTTGCAGCAATAGAAACCCTAACTAAGACACCTGCTGTGGGTGGATCATTCCTTATGCAGGGAATCCTAGACTTTATAAGATGGAAAAAACAAACTGAGAATCAGCATTGGTTCATCCCTTTCTGTTCCTGATTGTCGATGTGATGTTAGCAGCTACTTCAAGCTTTGACTTTTCTGCCATGATACACCATACTTTGAACTGTGAACCAAAATAAACCCTTGTGTCAGGGTATTTTATCTCAGCATCAGGAAAAGCAGCCAAGACACATGATGTCATGCCATTCTTATGGTGAAGCTGGAGCTTGGCTTGTGGGGTTGTCTTAGGGTTTCTATGCTGTGAAGAGACACCATGACCACGGCAACTCTTATAAAGGAAAAACATTTAATTTGGGTGGCTTATGGTTTCAGAAGTTTAGTCCATTATCATCATGGTGGCATGCAGGCACACATGGTGCTGGAGAAGGAGCTGAGAGTGCTACATCTTGATTTGCAGGCAACAGGAAGTGAATTGTGCCACTGGGGGTAGCTTGAGCATAGGATACCTCAAAGCCTACTCCCACAGTGACACACTTCCTCCAACAAGGCCACACTTCCTCCAACAAAGCCACACCTCCTTACAGGGCCATTTTCTTTCATACCATCACATGGGTTTTGTGTATACATGCACAGGTACATATATATATATGTGTATATATATATATATATATATATATATATACATATATATATATGCCTTATAAAAATGGAAGTGGTCACTCATCCATGGCATGGGTGAGCCATCAGCACTGGCTGAGTTTCCTGTCTGCTGGCCTGTTCTGGTGCCTGTGGGTATATAACCAATCAGCAGCCTTTGTTGCCCTGATCAAAAGAACATTGCAAAACTGTCCCACTGCCTCATCTCTGTCTTCCTCCCTCTATGTCCTCAGATTTCCAAATTACAATGATGTCAGTAGGCAAAAATCATGCTCCTCACACATGCCTTGTTTTCTATCAGGCTTTGAGAAGTCTTTTAGTATTATCTTTTGAGGAGATGGCTGTATGAATCAAGCCAGCAATAACAAAGCAGGGCTGAAACCGGAGTCTAACAGTGTCCAAATCCCAAGTATACAGCTTGATAGGTCTTTCCTTTCTTCCTTCCTTCCTTCTTTCTTCCCTCCCCCTCCCTCTTTCCCCCCTCCCCCCCCCCCCCTTGGACAGTATCTTGCTGCATAGCCCTGGCTTGCCTGGAACTCACTATGTAGACCTTAGTGACCTCAAACTTGCAGCCATCCTCCTGCCTCTGCATGTAATTCACTCTGGCATTGTAGATATGTGCACTTGGCTCAGTGAATTATTCTTTACACTCATGTACCCATCACAAGGTTAAGAAACGGAATGTTACTACAGATGCGAAGCTTTTGGTATTTCTACTTCTGTGGGCTACAACTGTACTACAATCAAAAACCTATTCTTGTGCAACACAAGATGTTCAGGGATAGGAAGGCTCCTATTGGCTGGAAGGGAATTGCCATGGCAGGATCTGAGGGTGGCATGGGTCAGTCTTTTAGACTGGATTTTAGGGGCCTGTAGGTGGGCCTGGGACATCGAAAGTCCTGGCATCCCTTCCCCTTTATGAAGCTGTGACCAAGTACACATGACATAAAAATAAATTCACTGTTTTAAGTTTGTAGCTCAGCAGTGCTGACTGAAGGTCACCCCACCGTCAGTCTTCAGAGATCCTTTCATCTTGCAAACCTGAAATGCTTTACCCACTAAATCAAAGAGATGACCTGTTGCACATTCCCCTTCTGAACAACCACCATTCTGTCTACACATTTGATGGCTGTGGAACCATCTAAAGAGAATCATGCAGTCTCTGTCTTTTGTAACTTTTTTCATGGAGCATTACGTCCTCAAAGTTTATCCATATTGTAGCCTCTAAGAATTTATTGTCTTCTGCTGGTTGTGGTGGTCCACATTTGTAATCCTAGTGCTTGGATTGCTGAGGCAGGAGACATGCAAGCCCTAGGCTAGGCTGGACTTCATAGTGGATTCTAGGATAGTCTGAGATCTGATCAAGACGCTGTATCAACTCTCCAATACACCCCAACAAAACAAAACAAAACAAACAAACAAACAAAAAAACAGCCACTGCCACTACTAACAACAAAACAAATAAACAAAAAAACCGGAACCCAAATATAACAAAAGGAAAAAAAACCCAAAGAACTTCATGACTTTCTAAGGCAGAATAATATTCTACTGTTTGTACATCTGCATTTAATTTATCCATTCATGCTCTGGTGGACACTTGGGTTGTTTCTATCTCTTGACTGTTGTAAAGAGTGCTGCTGTGAACATGGATATATGAGTCTGTCTTGCAGGCCACTCCCCCTTTCAACTCTTTAGGGTACATCTTAGAAGACTATATGCTAACACTATTTACTCATCTTTATTTAGCTTTTGAGGAACTGCTCTAGTGTTTACCACGATAGTCACACCATGCTGAGCTCTTTTTCATGCGCATTTCCTCTTGGTCAGCCTATTAGTAACACTAGAAAGGGCCTGAGGTCTGGATAGTTAGGACCCCATATATACACACAGCATTCAGAGCCATTGAGACAGGATGGGGTGAAATCAAAGCAATTCTTGTTGGCTAGATGGAGGCCCCTGTGAGAAGAGTCATTTTTTTTTTTTTTATGAAGATAATGATTTTTTTTTCTCCTTAATTTCTAGGAAGGTGGAAGGCGAGAGATTTATTGATTTTTAGGTATGGGCAGGCCTCGCACCTGTTTGGTGTATCACCTCAAGATTTCCTCTGGGGCTTTGGGTCTAAGTGTGGGACTATTTACAGAACAGATGGCGAAACTAAAAAGAACAAAATAAAGGGGAGGGGGCAGCTGTGATTAGATCAGGAGGCTTACCCAGTGAAAGCAAGGGGGGAAAAGGCCTTGGAACTTTGGAGTGTGGTATAGGCTTAGCACTGGATTCTGATGCTGGGAGCACCTCCTGCCATGAATATTCAGGGGCTTCTTGAGGTAATGTTAAGTATTTCTGCTTTGTTGCTAGGGCTGAGCTAGTGTTACTATTCACCTGAAGGATATGGGCCACCAGGGTGAGGACCTCTAGGACCACAGAATTGAAGGACGTCTCAGTTTCACTGAAGGAATACCCTGTTTCCAGATCCATTCTCTTAGGTTTTCTCCCACCCCATCATATACAAAAATGTCTCTGTGAAATTACTCAGGTCCTCAGGCTGGGCATCAAGAGCCTTTACCACTGAGCCATCTTCGCCTGCTGGTACATGTGACGGACCATTCATGCATTCATCCTGGCCTACTATGGGACTGTAGGTGTACAACGAGGGTTATGATGTAGGTCTCCCTTCCATCTTGCATCCTTACCCCACATTTCAGTGAGCAAACAGCACAGGAAAGGGACTCTCCAGCTGCCTTAGAAATGTGTCTAAAAGCAGAGTGGAGTCCAGAAGCAACAGCCGTTGTGCCTGCTGCCATTTTTACGCTGGTCAAGGCAGGAAAACAAAACTTTACTGTGAGTTTGGACATTGACTGTGACTCCTTTTTGCTATTACCGTCATGCTAACCCATTGTAATCATTTATTCAGATGTGCAAAATGCAGTTTTCATTTCTCATTGATATTGGGGCGATGATGTTGTCAGATGAAGCAGGGCTGCTTCTTAGGGCTTCCAGTATAATTGGAACAGGACATTTTTGTCTAAAACTGAAGATAGGTTGTCTGCTAATAATCATACTTAAGAGGCGGCAAGGAGAAATGTACTCTTCGTACTACTTGGTAAGTCAGCTGAATCCTTATTTACTATTGCTATTGGCATGACAACAATCATCATGGCATCTACGTGTTTCAGTTCTTACATGGTTTCTCATAGCAACTTCTATTTGACAGACAGTGAGACTAAAGTTTAGAGTCCCCAGAACTTGCCCCAGGCCACAGCATTGGGAAATAAGAGAGTTGGTGTCTTAGTTACTTCTCCCACGGCTGTGATAAAATACCCCGAATAAAGCAGACTGAAGAAGGAAACATTTATCTGGCCCATAGTTCTAGGGTCCAGTCCATCATAGCGGGAAGTTCTCACAGCGGGAGCTTGAGGTCAAGTTGCATCCACAGCCAGAAAGTAGAGAGCAATGAATGCTGGGACCTCGGCTGGCTTTTACCTTTTGATGCAGTCCAGGACCCCAGCCCAGGGAATGGTGGCGCCCACGTCCCACCTCAGCTAACCGAATGACACCTCACAGGTGTGCCCAGAGGCTTGTCTCCCAGGTGACGGTTCCTGTCAAGTTGATAATTAGTATTCACTGACTGGAATCAGGTCTGTGACTCCTGGTTTTCACGCTTATGATGACAACTTTACTATTGGTCTTAGTTGTGATTTCAGAAGTGGAAGGTAAGCAGAGTGGGAAAAGTTTTTTTTTTTTGTTTTTTTTTTAGTTTTTCTGCCTGGCTGGGAAAACGAAAACATGCCTGCATTTATCCGGTCATCGACCGTCAAGTGGGAGGGCTGGAGGGGCTGGCTGATTGGTCAGGTCGGCCTGTGTGCGGCTGCTAAGTGAGCTGAGCAACCACGGCTTTCAGGTGAGGGGAGACTCTCAGGAAGTTGAGGGCCATCTCTGCCTAAGCAACTCTGTGAACTGCAAAACCCATGTCACTGAAAGGTCTGTTGGCTTCCGCCTTGAACACCGTGCGAGCCTTCCATGAAACAACAACAACACAACAAACAAACGAAACAAAAAACCAACCAGCAGCAACAAAAAGCACGCTCTGTTGAGCTGATGAGGAGTAGGGGAGGTGGTGGAGGCTTCCTCTGCCATGTTGCACGAGATGGCCTGCCTGAGTTCCTGTGGCAGGTTTGCACCGGCTCCCCAAGGGCTCCCCATTGTCCTTTGACCTTTGATCTTGGTGAGTTATAAAACCTCCCTGCCTGCCTCCCCCCACCCCCCCATGCTTTGGAAGACAAGCCCTGGTCATGTTCTCTTGCTTTTTTTTTCCTTGTGATTCTTTCTTCCTCCTGTCCCCTCCTGTAAGGGTACCAGGAAAGCCTGGTACTAAATACCTGACCAAAGCCACTTCGGAGAGCGAAGATTTATTCTGGCTCACGGTTTGAGGGCCTATAACTCATTACGGTGAGGAAGGCATGGCCGTGGGTGGCTCTGTGATAGTAGAAATACGCGGCTGGGACTCCTCCCAGCTCAGTGGACCAGAAAACAGGGAGAGATGACTGCTGGTGCTCAGCTAGCTTTCTGCCTTTCCCTCTTTCATTCCATCCATCCTAGCCCACACCCAGGACGTATCTTTTCTCATCAGTTACTCCTCTCTAGAAATACCCTCACAACCTCACCTAGAAATGTGCCTCATTAATGCCTTAGATGTTTAATAATTCAACCACATTGAAAATCAAGATTAACCATCATACCAGGCCTTTATCCAGGCTATATTCAACCTCAAGGTTCCCATCTTTCAGAACTAGGATGATGTGGGAAAGCCGCTCCATGGTCCTCTAGACATTCCTATCAGTATGTTAAAGCCTCAGCTTGAGTCCACTTGCTGCCCAGACCATGGGCTATCAACCGATGCAGAAAATTTCAGCCGGATCAAAAGAGAGTGGTTTCCAGTCTTTCCAGTACATGAGCCTTTTGTGACAGGAGGCAAAAGGCTGCCTTGCTTTGTAGCTTTGTGTTGTGGTGTTACTACAGGGACTGAAAGGGTCACCCTCACTGGTCTCCGAGGCTTGCTTTGCCTTGTTCCGTGTTTCGTTGACTTATTTTCTCCTACTCTGTATTTTCCAGCATCAGCTCCACCCTGTGTTGATCTCGTGGAGGATGTCTGCATCAGAATGAGGAATCTTGTACAACTCTGAGGACTTCCATCACCATGGAAGAGTGCTGTAGTCCTCTTGCTTTCTACTCCGCTGCCTTAGAGGTAGCGTGGCTGCCCAGCCGTCAGGGGAGGGAGTCACAGCAAGCTCTCTCCTAACTGTCTCCCCGTGGAGTCCAGGTGGCTCTTCTTCCGGTCTGCACTGTCCTCTGAAGCTTGTTTAACATCTTGGAGGCTCAAGTGTGGGGCGTTTATCCAACCACCCCCACACTTCCCCAGAGTTTTCTTGAGTGCGGGCAGCAGGAAATATTAGATAGAAGGATTTATTGCGGAGACTATCTCGGAGATAAACAGATAGAAAATAAAGGATAGCCTCGAGAGGGCCTGGAACCTTTTCCAACGGGCCCTGACTGTCCCTGCCTCAGGGTATTTATAGAGATGCCAAGGGGTGGAGCAAAAGACCTCCTCCCCCAGCACAGCCAAGTGCAGACCATCTCAGACACCTGCACTCAGGCCCGTGGTCCTAATCATCCTCTCTATTCGGACCTGCTGGGTAAAGCCACGAGGAACCTGAAAACAGGCTCCCACACTCAAGTCTGGGAGGATCTTGTAGTCGGGCATCTGCTTCTTCTACAGAGCTTATGTTTGTCTGGTGACAAGCAAAAAATGATGGGATGGTAGAGAGGAGACAGAATAGTGTAGAGGGTGGCCTGGAAGGCCATCAGCTGAATGTCCACAATGGCAGAGGCTGTGAACATCGGGACAGGGTCTCAATAAGACAGTTCTCTCTACCCCAAAGATCAGGGAAGGTTAAGTCCTCAGATATGTGCTTAGGAGGTGCACAGAGCAGGGTCCTGAGCCTCCTGCTTGAAGTGTTAGGGTGAAGGGAAGGGCTCAGAAGGCTGAGAATTAAGGACTTCTGCCTACAGACAGAAATGAGTACAAACAGGGGACACCATTGACTCCATAGCCACGTCACCAGAACCTGGTGGGAAACATTGCCACCTTTCATTCTACCCCTTGAGTGGTCCCCTCCCTGTTTCTCCAGCCACAGTTACCTCTCTCACCTCTTGCTCCAAACTTCAAGGCCTTCGCTTCCTTGTTGTATAGGCTTGGGGCTGAATTAGAAGAGAACAGACAAAGAAAGCCCTTCTCCCACCTAAACATGGGGTAGATGAGAGGAACTGGTAACGTGAATCATGGATTCTTCATTTGTTCTGTGTGTTTCCTTTTAAAATAGTTAGTTTTATTATGTTTAGTTATGTGTGTCTATGTGTCTGTGTGTAAGTATGTACATGTGAGTGCAAGTGCACCTAGGGTCCAGAAAAGAGTGTCAGATCCCCCAGAACTGGAGTTACAGTTGTTTGTGGTTGTGAGTTGCTTGACATGGATGCTGGGAACCAAACTCTGGCCTCTGCAAAAGCAGTACACACTCATTACCACTGAGACATCCCTACAGCGCAGAACCTTTCATCTTACATCATTTGTTAATTACTGTGTGGATACAGGAGGGGTCCATAGGACACATCCAGAAACCATATGTGAGTATGCAGCAACTAGTAACCAAGGGCATCATGGGAGAGGAAATACCTTTAATTGGCATAAATTACAGAGGGACTAGACTTTAAGAGTCCTGAAATTAGATGTATGGGGGTTATCCAGATCTCCAAAGGATAGGGAGGGCCCAAATGTACCAAGTGTCTTGGATGAAGGCACAGAAAAAAATTCAACCACTGTGTGACATGAAAAATCAAGAGGTCAGAGGGAGAAGGGCAGGCGAGGTGCCTCCACTGGGGGCAGAAAGACTCTCAGGATGCTGGAGAGTACAGTCAGGGACACTGGGAGGGGCGTGGCTGACCCGAAAGAGGCATCCTTCAGAGAAACTGCAAAGACTGAGAGAAGAGGAAGCAAGAGTGACAGAGAGAGCCAGGCAGTTTCATGACAAATGGCTGCCTAGCGGAGCCTGCTGGGAGCTGCTCTGAAACGCAAGGGACCATGAGCTTGGATTCTGCTTTCTTTCCTTACGTAGTTCCTTGTTTTCTCTTCCTTGTTACCTCGGACCCTCTGTGAAAGGTAGACCCTTCCTCAGGAAAGGCTTTGTTAAAAAACCCACCCTTGATGCAAACCATGAAATGAGGGAATGGATGGGAGGAAGGATGGCCGTCGCAGCGTGGATTTTTGAGATTGCATTGGTGTTGGTCACCTGCTTCTTTTGCCTGTAATAGGAGTCATGCGGCTTAAAAACCCTGACTGCTGATTTGAAAATTTACCTCATGCAGTGATTGATAATAGAAGCTTTCGGGAATGAATAAAAAAAAGAGGGGGAGGGGTTGGTGAGCAAGGGCTGAGGGAAACGTGAGTTGTTGAAAATGGGGGTGGCTGAAGCTCCACTCAACTTCGTCTGAATGGAGTTCGGACGTCCGAGTTTGCTATGTTTGTGGGACAGGTAGGGAAATTGAGGCGCAGAGAAAGAAAGGAGGCTTGCTAGCTTTCCACACATCACATCCTGGTAGCATTCTCTCTTTCTCTCCTCCACACACCCCGCCCTGCTCCCCCAAGTCCTAGGGATGAGACCCACACTAGGCAAGAAGAATCGGGGCTATTGTTCCTCTAAATAGGTGTGATGACGGGGTCACCTCTGGCAGGTTATTTTAAACCAAGCAGCTGCAGGAAAGTAAAGCCTGGCCTCATGCAGATGGGTCTCCTATTTCCAGTGGCCATTTGCTCATTCTGAGGAAGTTGTTGCCGGGCACACTGAGACTATTATTCAAAGAGCTGAGCAAGCCAGAAGTTGCGTCTGGGTGTGTGCAGGTGTATGTGACACTTGATGATCACTCCTCAGGAGCTGTCCGCGTCTCTCACTGGCCTGGAACTTACCAGGAGGGTTAGGCTGTCTGGCTAGAAGGCTCTAGGAATCTTCCTGTCCCCACTCCACCAGCACTGGGATCACATCTGCCTGGCATCTCTCTCACCCCAAACGGGGGTTCTAGGGATCAAACTCAGGCACATGTGCTCAAAAGGCAGGAGCTGTACTGAAGCATCTCTTCAGCCCATGGCAGAAGATTGACAGAACAAAACATAAGGCATTCTACCTGGCAGGGGCTTCTTCCCAAGTGGGAAGGCATTCTCTGTCTTTCCCCAATCCTTTTTGCAGCAAGGTCCTTTCCAAAAGGCTTGGAGTCTTTCACCAGCCTTTCAAGACTCCTGGCTTTGTAACAGTTTTCTTTGGGGCGTTGGCTTTGGTTCAGACATTGACAGAGGTATATCAGGTTAAACCCAGTGTCAGTAACACTGAGGTTGAGAGGCTAAGGTTAGGGATGTGGTCAGTTCACTGCTGTCAGGGATGGGGGAGAGAGGGAAGGAAAGATGGACTTAGTAGAGGTCATCATGTCTGTTATATCCTTACAAGGCCCAGCCCAGTGATAGCTTTAGTCTCCTAGAGGGAACCGAGTCTCAACAATCGTGAGTTCTAAAACACATAGCCCAAACACTTGAAGAACTTAAAAACAGTCTCAATTCCTTGGGCTCATTCCAGAGGCATTGACTCAGCCAAAAGGCTGAGGACAGCTGTTCTAGAAGGTTCCCTCTTAGCACCCAGGAACAGCTGTTTGGAATGGAGTCTTCAGATGGTGAGTTTTTTGGTACTGAGAGAGCACTGGACGTTCGTGTGGGAAAAGGTTGTCAGCAGAGCCAAGTGAACAGTTTTGATCCCCAACAAGGTGGTCATGGACTTCAATAGGTCCTTCATGGTGACGTACAGAGAAGCTTGGATTTCACACGGGGGGGGGGGGGGGGGGAGGGAGGGTCAAAAGGCGGATTGCTGGCTGCCCTTGAGGACAGCTAGCTCTCAGCAGCAGGTTCATCAGCTTCTCTCACTCCCTGCATTTCCTGGGCCCTGTGGTTTGCTTTCCTGAACTGACCTCTCCCAACAGGCAGCTGACTCAGTTCTTGGCCCAGCAAAACAAGAGAACCTTACATAACCACGGAGCTGAGCTCTTGGAAGGAGAGGCCTTGCCATGTGAAGAATGAGAGGCCAGCTCTCGACAGAGGAGGGACATGGTTCCCAGGCTGGATTGGAGGGAGTGTCACCTGAACTTGAGGCTCCCAGCTGCCATCACAGTGCAGTGTTTACTTTTGACTCATCCAGAGCTTATCCAGTATACACGTGACTGGCAACCCCGTGTCCTAAAAGTTCATCCCCAGGCAAGGTTTTCTGTTGTCTCTTGGGCTTGCATGAAGATCCAGTTTGGGTGTTTTAAAGGATTCACTGAGTGAATAAAAAATGAAGTAGGAGGAGGAGGAGGCCGTGACTGCTCCTAAAGTATGGAGAAGAGTTTGATTGTAGATGGAAGGGGAGAGCAGGCAGAGGGAAGAGTCCAGGCTGAACATGGCAGGCAGACTAAACCGGACCATGAGAGGAGAGAGGAGGAGGGAGAGCAAGAGAGGAGCCGCTGACCAAGAAGGGCAGTCTGTGCCAAGAGACCGGAGTAGCCAAAATGGCTGAGTTATATGGGGATCTGAAGCTGGGGGAAGGAGACAGAAGCCCAGCTCCTGGGGGGAAGAGGTTCCAGGTGGGAAGCTGGGGGATGAGCACAGGGAGGAGTGAAACTTGTTCTGGGTTTGAGACCCAACATGGATAATGTCTTCTTAGAATCTGTTTGTAGATTGCACATCTTTAATCCCAGTTCTCTGAAGGCAGAGGCAGCCGGATCTCTGTGAGTTCGAGGCCAGCCTGGAATACAGAGTGAGTTCCAGGACAGGCTCCAAAGCTACACAGAGAAACCCTGTCTGGAAAAAAATCTGTTTGTAGCTTGCCTGCCTCCCTCCTTCCTTCCTTTTCCCCATCCTCCCTCCTTCCCTCTGCCTCTCCTTCCCTCCCTCTCTCCCTCCCTCGTCCTGCCCTCCACTTCTGTGATGCTTGCTGTCTCCATGCCTAGTCAACTGTACATTAGAGCCTCAGTTCTTCACATACTGCTTGGCTCTCAACTTCCATTGACTTCATCTGCCTTATAAAGAGGACAAACTTGACCTTGCACTGCTTTCCTGCTTGGGAGCTGGTGTGTGTGTGTGTGTGTGTGTGTGTGTGTGTGTGTGTGTGTGTGTGTGTGCTTGCTACAGGTACGGATCCACAGTTGTCCCAGTGGAAAGTACTTGAGTACTTAAAATAAGTGTGTTGAAATGTTGTGTGAGATTTTCAGAGGAGATGTGAGTAAACACTTACACTTCATACAGGACACTAACGACAGACCGCAGGAATGATGCCACCACATCAGGAGCAAGGCTGACTACAGGCAGCGGCGTTACTGAAAAGCCCTGGGCAGAATGGGGGAAGGCTCACAAAAGCTGCATTCCTGGAGTGGAGCTGTCTGTCTAACTTGCCTGCAAGTCCTCTGAAAAGTCCCTTGCCCCATCAAGGACTTAGTGCTTCATAACCTTGAGAGACGGCCGTGTGACCCTGAGTCTTGTGCGACTCCCCCTTCCCTCCATAAAGGAATGTCTCAGTTTAGAGGAATTAGCTGCCTAACGTGAGAGATGGAGAACGCACAGGTTCAGAGACACGACTTGTAAACAATGTCCTGTTAGACGTCATAGCCGCATCGGCATTGAACAAACTGGAAGCTCAGTACAATTAAGTTTTCTTTGCTTTTGTGGTTTCTAGGCTTGGGTTAACTTTGCCTAATAATAATATGAGAATGACAGAAGTTCATGGAAGGCACCGGTAAGAGATTTCCCTCCATGATTACACTCCTTCCTCACATAGGTTCAGCATAGTCACTTGGACAAAAGCAACTTCAGGAAGTAAGACTTTATTCGGCTTACTTCTCCAGAGGAGACACAACATACAGTCCATTGTGGTGGGGAAGCATGGTGGGAGGAGCTTGAGGAAGCAGAGTGAGAACAGGAGGAAATGGAGCTATATGCTACCAAACCTCAAAGCCCACTCCTTGGGATGCACTTCCTATAGCAAGACTCCATCCTCTGAAGGTTTCACAATAGCGCCACCAGCTGGAGACCAAGGGTTCAAACACATGAGCCCATGGGGAGCATTTCACAGTCAAATCACGGCCGTGGCTGGTTTGAATCTGAAATTCAAATCCACGTCCTTCTGACTCCAGATAGTATTCCTAGCCGGTTCACAAGCTGAGCTGTGTCAACATCATGCTGGTGACCTCATCGAATCCTGTCTCTGTATGGTTGGGTGGGTCTCAAGTATACATTATTCTGATCTAGACTGTTGGCTATCTACTTGGATTGCCCCCTTCCTCCAGCAATTAGAGCTGTTCCTGGCCACTCTGTTCCTTCTTAAGCATGCTTCTCTGTCACATTCCCTTACTCAGGCTAAAGTGTGGGAGTGACCCTTGACCTTTCTTTCTTTTTTTTCCACAGCCAACATGCCAATTATCAACAGGATTCCTATAATCCAGAAATTCAACCACCTCTTGCCCTCCTCACAGCTGTCAAGGGTGAGTCAGCCTTTATTATGCTCTTGTGCAAAAATCTTCTGGGGCCTTCTTGTCTTGTTCCAGTAGTGTTGGTTATGAAGTTACTGCCTCTCAACTCCAAGCCTAGGCTTCTAGACTAGGCTTTATGTTGCTGGAGCTAGGATACGGAAAGCCTGAAACTCCTGTTTCTCCTGTGCTAGCAGACTCTAACAAAGCCGGGCTCAGCAGCAGGGCTGCTGAAAGGAGGGGGAAAGCAAGGTCTTGCTCCTTCTGGTGGTGTTTTCAACTTCCTATTGGCCTGCAGCGGCTCTGAACACTACCCTAACCCAGCCATCTCACCACCACAGTGACAATTTCTTCCTTCATCTGAAGTTCAGTTCTCTTGACAAACTTCCCCTCACTGTAGAAGCAGCCTCATGGCACTTCTTCAGGGACGACGGGACCGTCACGCTCTCTGAGGTCCGGACTCCAACACTGTGGGATTCTCTCTTTGGTACTCTCATAGCTTCCTCTTGTTTCCCACCTCTCAGGGTGGAGGCAGTTTCCCACCGTGATTACTTCAAAGGCATCTGGGATTTCTTCTTCTGTCCTTTCAGTTACCAGGGTGGAGACTTTATATTGAGGTGTTTTTTTTTTTTTTTTTTTTTTTTTTTTTTTTTTTTTTTACATTGAATTAGCATTGTTGAAATAACTGGTGTGTCTCTGGCTCCTGACCTGGTTTTGGCTGATATAACTCATCCAAGAAAATGTTCTCAGGTTCGCTTGTGATGTGGCTTCCTGCCTCTCCTGGAACCCCCCCCCCCCCACTCTCCACCTTTCCCATGGTCTTTTACCCTTCTTGGCTGTATGGAAAACATATCAATCCCTCTCATGCTCATAGCTTTCAATATTTCCGTTCCCTTTCCTTCAAAAACTGCTCCACAATTCTGTAGGCTTCTGTTTAGATTTTCTTGCAATATTATCTCTTTTGTAAGGCTTTCTCTGAAAACCTTCCAACAATCCACATCCACTCTCTTTCATCTTCTTAATTTTGTCTATTTTTTTTTTCTGTACTTCCTGTCTCTGGGGGCCCACAGAGGCTCCTTAGTAAGACCTTACTCAAGGTCAGAGAATCTGAGCTTGCTTTACCCAGCAGGGCTGCATAATGGGATGATTTGGCCACTGGCGTGTTTACCAGGTGTTTTGAAGGGTCTACACTTGGCTGTACATTGTGTTTTGATCTTGAAAGGTGGAGGGCCCTCTCGAAGCTATCCTGTGTCTCTGTCTTTCTCGTCTCCGTCTATATTTCTATCTAATCCTTCCTCATTCCTCTCTCCTCCCCGCAAGAACACTTCATCAGGTCAGAGATGGACTCCCACACCTATCACCATCTATGTTAGTAAGCTTTCTGTTACCACAAAACAAACACACAAACAAACACTAGAGGTAACTAACTTACACAGAGGGAAGGTTTATTTTGGTCCACAGTTTTCAGCCCGTGGTCACTTACTTGGTTTTGTTGTTTTTGGGCCTCTGACCAGGCTGTACATCATAGTGGAAGTCTGTGACGGAGGGCAATTTTCACCTTCTTGCAGTTGGCAAGAAAAAAGAGAAGAGGGACAGAAGCCCCAGTGGTTCCTTCAGTGGCATGCCCTCAATAACTGAACTTCCTACAACTCAGCCCTACCTTCTCAAGGCCCCACAGCCTCCCAGTAACACATGGGCTAGGGACCAAGCCTTGTGCAAATGGCCCTTTAGGGAATACTCCAGATCAAATGACAGTAGCTCCGATAGTCTGTCTGCCTGTTCGCTCGTTAACTGGCTCTTTCCTTTTAGAAAGCTGCTGGAGAGAGGAGACTTCTCCCACTTCAATGATTTCTGCACCTCAGAACTCACAATGACACCCAGCACCTTAAATGCTTGATGCACATTTGCTGAATGAATAAACAAGTTGAAGCATGGCCCAGGTCAAAGTGTTCTGGATAAGGAAGACTTTGTCCACATGTGGGAGACATCAGGACTGGCAAGGGCTAACCCGTGTCTTTGAAGAACTAATGTCTTTTCCTCTTTTCTCTAGATTGCTGCTGGTGGACCTAAGAAACAAAATCTGATGCTGAATCTGTGGCATGTCCTCCTTACCTTGGTTTTCCTTCTGATGCTGTCTTTTGAAATGATGATATGGAGACTGCTCTGGGCACCAGATAGAACCCCAAACGGCTCTTTGCTCCTATGAGTTTATTTCACAAGGGAAAAAAAAATTTGAGAGTGTGGGTTGTTGGTCTTTTTGGTTTTTTGCTTCGCAGAGACTATGTGCTCCGTAGCCCTGGCTGATCAGGTATTCACAATATAAACCAGGCTGTCTCAGCCTCCAGACTAGTAGAATTAGGTTGTTGGCTTCTTGTCGTTATTTCCATGGAGGCTGTGTCTTGAAAGGTGTGTGGTACAGACTTGGACACCTCATTTCTAACATGAAGCCTAGCCCTCTAATCCAGGAGAGCAAGAGGCAAGAGAAGAATTTATCAGCAGCAAGCACTGGACACCTAACCTCACAAGACTGAGGTTGAACCAGCCCCAAATCCAACTCACTGCAGGCTATTCCCTGCCCTGTTGCGTTGTGGGGGAGCTCCCTGGCTTACCGTGGCAGCTGCTGGGTTCTCACTGCTGTGATTCACCTGTTCTTTCATGTTTGCCTTGGAGTTCAGCCACTTAGGTTTCAGAAGGTGCTGAGCTGGCCAACGTTCTTGGCTAGAGAACACAGGTGTGACCGGTGCCGTGTTAAGTGCTAGCGGCGGTTCTAAGTGCTGATTGGAAAGGAAGCTGGACATACTAGCTTTCATCGGGGCTGCTTTGCTTGGCCACCTGCGACTTTGCACTTAGCAAAGTGAGAGCTGAATAAGGATCCAGACAGCCTATTTCAAGGTACTGTTTCGGCTCTTAAACAACAAACCGAAACAACCCGGTGAAGCTGGGTGCGGTCCGCACTGTCTTCCAACTTGGTGACCCAGGAAAGGAGATTCTCAAGTACACAAAACCTGTTCCTCCAAAGATTTGGACTTGGCTTTTTCTTTTTGTTTTTGCAACTCTGATCATTGTTTGCTGTGCCACATTTGAAGCCCAAATCCTGAATTATATTAACTTATTTTTTTTAGGATTTATTATTATTATTATTAAATCTAATGAAGGAATGAATTAATTGTGTGTATATATGCCATTTGTGTTGGTGCCTGTAGATGCCAGAAGTCATTGGATCCCCCGTAATTGGAGTCACAGGCAGTTGTTAACTGCCTGATTTTGGTGCTGAGAACCAAACTCCAGTCTTCTGGATGAGCATCCAGCACTCTTAACCACTGAACTATCTTTCCACCGCCAATGCTTTAACTCTTAAAGTACAGACTGCAAGCAGGTTACAAAAGCATTCAGAGTACCCTACACTGTGCTTGAGAAACACACATTGGAAGAATTGGTTGTTGCCCTGAGGAGGGGCACTATATTTAGAGAAACAGGAGATGTGAATGGTCACAGAAAACAAGAAAAGAATATTTAAAGGCATGAAATTTTTGCAGACATGAATGTTATAGAAACTCAGGGCCAGGGAGCTGGCTCATGGGTAAAGGCATTTCTCGATAAACCTGATGACCTGAGGTCCATCCCTAGGACCCACAGAGTGAACAATTCCTACAATTTGTCCTCTGACTCTCACATATGCATTGTCATATATGAATACCCATACACACGCAAGTATGCACACACACACACACACACACACACACACACACACACACACACTCACTTAACAAATTTGTTTTAAAGAACTATAGAAAATGAATAATTACTGAGCTGTGTACTTTGAAAAAGGCTTCCTTATAATTGGAAGTGGGCATTGAAAATAGTGAGCATCTGGAGTGATTAAGAGAAAGGAGAAGGGCCGTCAGGCCAGTGGCCCCTGAATAGGGCTTGGACAAGACTGTGAATGCATCCATGGTGTTATGCAAGTGGGAGAAATCTATCCCAGGGAGTCATTAGAAAGCGGGATGAGCAGATGGGGAGGACAGAACCTTGGAGGACACCCAATGCGGGTGAGTAGACAGGATGTGTGCATGAAAAGAGACAATCCACACGGTTGTTTGTACGGTTTAAAATATTAAAAGAAGATTCGGGGAGAGAAGAGAAATACTTGGCAGTGGACCTCAAGAGCCAAATGAAAGATACAAATAAGGAACGCTTCTGAGGAGGAAGGAGGCACCAGGGCTGCTTCAGAAAGGGCTGCTGAGAGGAATGCTGTGGATAGGGAAGACAAGCTAAGAGGAGGGAGTCCATGAAAGTGAAGGGGTCTCAAAGTGAAGATTATGCTAGCCAGTCTCCAGTTGACTTGATGAAGAAGATAGGCACTGGCCCAGCATGAGGATCTTAAGACAAGGTAAAGGTTCTGTGACAGTCACACTCGGGACAGGACTGGGGGCGAGGGATGGATGAGAACAAACAACAGAGCACTAAGCCCCTGCCGCTGCAGCCAAGTGCTAGTTGATTTGAGGTGAGCTTGTGGTGCCCTGGGCTGAACTTCATGGGTCTTCTGTATTGGTACCTCTCCTCCCTGCTGTGACAAATTACCCAACAGAGCAACATAGGGAAGAAAGGGTTAATTTGGACTCATGGTTAGAGGGGAAGGTGTGGTGGTGAGAGAACAAGGTGGTGACCACAATCAGGAAGCAGAGAGAGAGGGTGACATGATGGCCACAATCAGGGAGCAGAGAGAGAGAGAGAGGACAGAGAGAGAGAGAGAGAGAGAGAGAGAGAGAGAGAGAGAGAGAGAGAGAGAGAGAGACAGACAGAGAGACAGACAGAGAGAGACAGAGAGACACAGAGAGAGATGAATCCCACTGCTTTGCAGCCTTTTTCTGTTTCCTTCTTTTATTCACTCTGGTACTCCAGCCCATAAATGATGCTGCTGGCTCGTCCCTCCTAATGATCCCTCTCTGGAGAGGCCTTTACTCACACCTACACCCAGAGATGTGTCCTAGCTGATTCTACATCTGATTGAACTGACAGGGAAGGCAGACATGTTCCTTTTTTAAGTCGCCTGTTGGGATCCAAGAGCTCAGAACGTGGAGTAGGTGAGAAGGCTATGAGGGGTGAGTGTGGCCGACGGAAGCAGTGGTTGCACAGCTCAACCCAAGGCTAAAGGATTGGGGGAAGATGGGAGAACACCAAGAGAGCTTTCTCGGCTACTGGATCCTGTGTGGACACAGAATTGACTTCATGGTGATGAGGTTCTCGGAGACTTTTGTGTCCAGAAGTTAGAAGGTGAGTGTTGAAGAAAAAAAGCCATCAGGTGTGTGCTCTGATACATCTCCACATTAAAGAAATTGCAGATAGTAGCACGAGAAATGGCATTCATTGATAAGGTAACTTACGCAGAACATCACAGGGCAAACCAGTCCTTAACTTTTTTTTTTTTTTTTTTAAATTTTTAATGCTTTCTATCCAAACTCCCTTTGGTTAATCCATCCCTTTGGATGGATCTTTACAGAGTCTAAAAGAGCAGGGATGACACTGAGTTTGGAAACTCAACTTCATTATTGCCTGTTGGAGAGCTCTAGGGAAATGATCCCCTCTTTGCCCCTTGGTGTTTCTCATCTGTAAGATGGGAATTGAAGCACCTTTCTGGTGGGGCTTGTGGTGGTTTGACTAAGAATGCTCTCCCCACAGAGGATCATAGATTTGACTGTCACCAGGGAGTGGCACTATTTGAAAAGATTAGGAGATGTGGCCTTGTTGGAGGAAGTGTCTCAGTGGGGGTAGGCTTTGGGGTTTCAGTAGCCTGTGGATCCAGATGTAGAACTCTCAGCTCCTTCTCCAGCACCATGTCTGCCTGTATGCTGCCATGCTCCCCTCCATGATGACAATGGACTGACCCTCTGAAACAGTAAGTCAGCTCCAGTTAAATGCATTCCTTCATCAGAGTTGCTGCGGTCATGGTGTCTCTTCACAGCAATAGAACGCTGACTCAGACAGGGCTGTTTGAAGAAGAGCATTTGGTTCTCATGCACAGGGACTGCTGTTATTTCAAATGAGGATTCTTAGGACTTTTGCATCTTTGGGTGTTCTAGCCCTGTGATCAGCCTTCCCCCTCTCTTGTCATACTTCACTTACTTAAAAAGCACAATGCCTTAAAATGCCTCAGAATCGTGGCAGAGGGTGTGGAGTGCTGAGCCTTGTTAGTCAGAGGTAAGCTAGTATTTTCCGTAAGTATCAATTGTGCCACTTTTAGGCACAGTAAGAGCAGTTAACTCATGGTGGTATAGGGTCATTGGTCAGGTCTTAGTTGTCTTTTGAGGCTAGCTGAGTTCTTTCACTCCTAGATAGTGCCTGACCTTGATGACGTTCTCCTTCTACACAGCCTGAGTTGGGGTTGCTGTGTGCTGAGTACTGTGGCCATCCACGGGAACAGTTGTTGGCAGCACTGACTGGAGGCCCCCAGAGTGGGCGAATGTAATGCTGTGGGAAACTGTGAGGTGCTCCATAAGCTGCCTAATGGGTTTTCTGAGCTGTGTTTCCAAACCTAACTCACATCTGTGAAATATCCCAGAGAACATAAAATGAGTCCAAGCAGGATGCACGTTCAGATATATTTGGAAGGTATTAAAGGAAGGAAAAGATCTCCAGAAGGTTCTATCTCACCTCTCACTTTCATACTGAAAACAATTCTGGTTCTCTGGTTCTGTCTTTTCTGGAGAAATGGTAACAACACTGTGCTCAATTGACAGCGATGATAACTCTTCAGTACTAGATACAAAATGGTCAAGTCCTTAGTTTTTGACAAGCTTTGGTGTCTTGGCATAGAGAGAGCATCTGGCTCTAGCCAGAACTTCGTTTTCTCTAACTTAATTTGCTCAAAGCCTTGGTGGTCGATGCCAAAAAGTTATGCTTCGTTATTCATCTCATGTTTTTGCCTATGTCTCTTAGACTTTTACTTCACTGATAGAATATTTAGGAAGACACAGATTAACATTAAAATGGATCGTAGGGGCCAGAGAGATGGCTTAGTGGTTGAGAGCACTTTCTATTGTTGCAGAGGACTCAAGTTCGATTCCTAGAAATAACACTGGATTGCTCGTAACTACCTGCAACTCCAGTTCCAGGGGTTCCTACCCCTCTAGTCTCTGAGGGAGTATCTGAAATCCCAGTGCTTAGGAGATGAAGACAGGGAGACCAGGAGTTTAAAGCCAACTTTGGCTACACAGCAAGTTGAAGGTCAGTCTGAGCCACTTAGGGAGACCTCTCAAAATGAATAAGGGACTGGGGAGGCAGTTTAGCAGTAAAGCCTTTACCTAGCCCAAGGGAGACCAGGCCTTGGTTTAATCTCCCATGTAAAAAACCAACCAGCCACCACCAGCAACCAAAACCAAAACCAAACACACAAACAAATAATCTCAAAACAAACCAAAAGGAAAGAAAAGAAAAAAGCAAACAAAACAAACATAAAGTTTTGTCATACATATAGGTTATCAAACTTCATCACTTACAGAACTTGTGAAATTGCCTATCAGAGTATATTTTGGTGTTTATATGTAGGGAGCAGAGGGAAAAGATACATTAAAAATGCAATATAAGGGGGCTAGAGAGATGGCTCAGTGGTTGAGAGCACTTACTGTTCATGCAGAAGACCCAAGTTCAATTCCCAGCACCCATATAATGTGGCTCACCACCATCTGTAAGTCCATTCCAGGAATTCCCTCTTCTGGCCTCTTTAGTCACTCATGCATACATGTGGTGCACACACAGAGAAGCAGACAAACACATATACACATAAACAGAGATGAATGAAAGGGTTTTGGTTCCATTAGGCAACTCTTGCTGCTTTACCATTCATTAACCAAATGTTTCCTTTAGAACGCAGGAACCAAATGGAGTTAGATAAACCTACCACCTTCAGAAATCTCAATTCTTGTTTTCTGAAACCCAGGAATCAATTATATTTTTTCCTCTCCAGACCCATTGTCCAAACATTCAACTATCAGAATTTAGGAAGCAAGGACATTTAGCAAAAAAGGATACTTCTCCTTCTTCTTGATTATCAGAAGCCATTTATTTATTGTAGAAAATCAGGAAAGTACAGGAAAGAATAGGATGACTCATTGTCAGGGTACCACACTGAACACTGACTTC